ACTTATACTGTCTTTTTACGCGTTGCATCGCGCCGCGTAAACATAAAACCACGTCTGCATTTGTGATCAGAGAAGTGACAAACAACAAGTGCTACTCTACACTGCTCAAAACTCGTCAGTGGCAAATCCTTTAAATATGAAAACGTAACGTTACTTACAGTCTGTGAGTCAGAACATCCGGCATTGTAGTCTACTCTACCAGGATCAGGAAACAGTCCTCCATAAAATGTGCTGCACACATCTGAATATTTGAGTTGAACTGTTCTGGAACAGTGTTGTAAATACAACTTAACCACTGATTTCTAGTTGTGTCCTCTTTTGGAAGGCCAAACAAAGTAGTTTCACTTTCACAACGAAACACACAGTGTCTTCACGACATGGCGGCAGCAACAATACTACAGCGAGAATAACAGTTATGCCTTCTTTCTTCATGTGAACATTTGGGCGGCGTTATGCAAATCTTCCCACATCATGACATAGACATGTGGGGGTGTGTTAGAACAAGCCGTTTTATAGGTAGGTGTGGTTGACTCTTAACGTTTATAAAGAATATCTCTTTGGATTTGAGACTTTAGTCTTTGCAACTTTACAGATCTTCTTTATGCACCAAGAGCTTGTGACACTCCAAAGAGAAAGAAAAATTTGAAATCGCATCATATGACCCCTTTAAAGCTGTGGTTATTTTAACGGTTTTAATTTGTACATTCGGTTTAACAACACTGTTAAAACACATTTCTCATTCAATGGAACTGTGCGTATGCTTTTAGACACTTACATTTTTGCTCCGTCCATGCAATAAATGCACAGCCTTCGACTGCTCAGGGATCTGCTCGGTATGACCGAGAGCCATTGAAAAACTACAGGAAAGTAAAACTACTTCACTTTAGCATTACTGGCCATGAGTACTAAGGAGAGTTCACACATCAGCTGCTCAAAAAATGTGTCAGTCAGACGAACGGAGCGCGAGCGCAATCCTGTGACAGTCACAGGTTTGTACATTCGGTTTAACAACACTGTTAAAACACATTTCTCATTCAATGGAACTGTGCGTATGCTTTTAGACACTTACATTTTTGCTCCGTCCATGCAATAAATGCACAGCCTTCGACTGCTCAGGGATCTGCTCGGTATGACCGAGAGCCATTGAAAAACTACAGGAAAGTAAAACTACTTCACTTTAGCATTACTGGCCATGAGTACTAAGGAGAGTTCACACATCAGCTGCTCAAAAAATGTGTCAGTCAGACGAACGGAGCGCGAGCGCAATCCTGTGACAGTCACAGGCGGTTAGTGGAGCGCGTGAAGGAGAGATGCGAGGGAACGAACACTGTTCAAGGTCTCCATTAATTCGAGCTTGTAGTAATTTAATGTGTATATATTTTTGAAAGCATTGAATCGCTATAGAATTCGCGATTCATTCGATTCTTAGCGTTTTAAATCGATTACTGTCCGAAATCGGCGATTCACGATTCAAAAATCCATGTTTCAAGATCAATGCATTGCATCGTCCGGGTTTGTAATCGATGCATCGAGAAAACGAGTGAATCGTTGCACCCTTACTAACCATCTGCATGTCCGAATTGAACATGCTTCTTGTGTGTCCTGCTTGTAGCAAATGAAAATATCATGCATCTGAAGCTGTAATTAAATATTGAGCAACAGTGCATATTATGTTTATTGTTTTAAATGCTGCTTACTCATTTATGTGAAGGACGCAAAAAGAGGACACATACGCACTTTTTTGGTTGATATAATCCTTAGATGTGTAAATGTATTGGTCTACATTTTTTTATCTTAGCTTTTGAATTAAATGTAATTGAATTCAATGTCTGTTTTGTATTTGTGCATTTTGTAGCAATTTCACAATGTGGTTTCTCCACAGCTGTGCTTTAAGATGTGGATGTTTGAGTGCGTTTGGCCTGCCACTCTTGCACAAGCCCACCACCTGGCAACAGCGGCTGGCAGGAAGTGCACATTAAGCTTTGACTGCAGGCCCGTATCAACAGAGACTGCAAAAAATATGGGATTCCTCTCAACCAGACAACACCCTGTCCTTCTCCAACGTCAGCGCTATTTATCTCTTATCATCTGGGTAGTCCAATGTTGCCACGTCTGCTAATTCTAAGAAACTGTGGGCCCCAGTAAATACACCCCAGTGTGCACCTTTCTATCTGAAGCAACAGCCTTGCTTATTTAGACTTATTTTAGTGAAGCATGTTGCCTATTTTGGGCTTGTTTTGTCAGACTAGGCTGCTTGTTTTTCTAGATCTGGCAACACTGCAGTAATCTTTACTAAAGAGTAGGGCTGTGAATCTTTGGGTAGACAGTGAATCGATTCGATTCAGCTGCTCAAAAAATGTGTCAGTCAGACGAACGGAGCACGAGCGCAATCCTGTGACAGTCACAGGCGGTTAGTGGAGCGCGTGAAGGAGAGATGCGAGGGAACGAACACTGTTCAAGGTCTCCATTAATTCGAGCTTGTAGTAATTTAATGTGTATATATTTTTGAAAGCATTGAATCGCTATAGAATTCGCGATTCATTCGATTCTTAGCGTTTTAAATCGATTACTGTCCGAAATCGGCGATTCACGATTCAAAAATCCATGTTTCAAGATCAATGCATTGCATCGTCCGGGTTTGTAATCGATGCATCGAGAAAACGAGTGAATCGTTGCACCCTTACTAAAGAGCCTAAATGTTTGCAGTGTCGGTGCTTACAAGGTGTGGGAAGTGTTGAGAATCTTCATATATCATTTAATTGTCTCATGTGGTGGTTTTAGGTGACCTTTGATTCCTTTGAGCTCAAGAGGTAAAGAAGACGACTGCTGATGCCTCTAAATTTGGGTTAAATTGGAAAACGAGTGCACTCATTTTGGTAATGGTCTGGGGAATAAACTAGGACAAGTCATACTATTCTGTGAGGGTCTCCATTTTATCCCAATTATATTGCAACATGCTGTTTTCTGCCATTGTCACATTTAGGTAGAGTGGGAGGCGTTTGTCTGCACCATTCATACTGTTGTTCAATCCATGAGAGCATCCAGTGCCTTTGCTGGTTAGCTTCTGCAGGTATCCTCTGCTGGTAGATGCTGTAACTACAACGTTTTGCAGGCTAAAAGCATCTTTCTCCACCAAGTCATTCTGACATATCCATTGATTTTGATGTGTACCATTGCAAAGTAGTTTGTTTAAAGTTGTTCTCAACTAATTTTGCATCCAGTTATGTTCCAGATGCTCAAAGGTGGTAAAGTTCTTACTATTCATAGCCAGCAACCAAATTACAGTCTTTCTGTGTTGATGACCATGTTTAGCCATTCACTGGTTGTAAACACAACATCATCCACACATAAATAATGAAGAAGCTTTAACCGAACAGGATTACAGGTCACCTCTGCAGTCACACATGATCAGTAGTGCAGAAAATTATTTTATGTGGGGCTTCTGTTAAAATATTGCACAAACAACAATTTTGCATCCATAATAGCTATGTGTAGAGAGTTTTGTGTCAGATTATTAATAGCACGGGTAGCTGTTTAGAACTGTGCATCCACTTCACTTCATAGGTTATGCCATTAGGGAAACATCAGTGAAAATTACAAATAACAATGGGAAATGTACAATTAAATGTAGATTTAATTAAAATCACAATTTTATTCTTCACTATTTACTTGGTTAAATCTATTTTTGCCTAATACTGTTTTTTGCAAAAATGTTACAGACTTTTTCATCATGTTGTCATAGTTATTTATTTACAGAGTATGAAATCATATAAATGAGTTATGGAGTACCCCAGTTTTTATTACAGGTTGTAAATTATATTTGAGATCATATTAAGTTAGAGTCTGAATTAAGTTATGTCCCAGAACCACCATTTCACAAAAAAAGGTGCTAAACAGTTCCTTACTCATGAATACAAAAACAAAAATAAATGAATAAAAAATAAATTAACTAGACCGATACATCAATAAAAATAAATAAATAAATAAAAGATAAGAATAGTAAGATAAAATAAGGATAATTTTCCAGTATGGAGAGTACAGTCGTGTATTTTTTTTAAATTTTTTGGTCTATTTTTTTCTATTGCATGCAGTCCGTGCATCTATTTTTGGTTCTGACAGTGTTCTGCTCTGCTCACTAAAAGAGGCTTTATAACTGCTTCTGCTCCACAAAGAAATAAAAGCATGAAGCTTTTAACATAGAAGAACATTTTATTTCTCAAGACTTTAGGTCAGTTGTCTTCTAACTGAAGAATCATGATATACACTAGTATTCTACTTTATGCTGAGCACTGAGTCTATGAGATGAAGGCTGTAGGCTACAATATGCAGACAATCATGAAAAAAAGGAAAATATAGCAGCTTCATGTTAGAGAAAGATTTATTCAGAGTTGAATCATTAGCAAAGAAAGTCGCCTATAGCACAAAATTAAAAAGATAGCATTAAATATTATTCCGTATAAACCATAATGAAATGATAGGCCACTGTAAAGAATGTCATGAATTGTCAAAGTAGGCTACTTAATAAGAAGCGAACAACAGACGGTTGCTATATAGTTTCCTGTTAGACGCGTCTATCGTATTCGCACAACTTTTGTAGTTACTAAAACGTGAAAACGCTATTTAAATGCTTAAATAGAAATACTTACACTATTAGTGTACGTTAATGACGTTTATTAGTGTATTTATGATAGGTTTCGTTGGTGGTAAATAAGTCACTTCATCAGCAAGTCCTAAGGACTTAGATTTGAGTAGCCTCGTACATTTAATGTTATTTTTAGCTCGTCTGAATTGTAACTACATTTGGCCTTCTGTGTGGACTGCCGCCCTTAAGATGGGAATGCCTCATTCATTAGTAATCGAGTGGCTATTTCAAGAGGTGAGTCCACGATCGTGAAGGGCTTTGAATCGCGTGTGTTCTTAAAAATGAGCCCCCACCCTCCCAGCATTTCCCCGTCGTGCCTCCTTCCATGCACACAGCAGCACATGGTTACAATCAAGCCCATAAATCAGGCGCCTCCGAATAGTCTGAATTAAGCACACATGCACATCAGACTGGGGCTGGCTGCTGTTGCAGCAGAAGAAGCGCGAGAAACAGTCACACATCAGGGGGATGGATGGAATCAAAAAGCCTCTATAGTGATCAATATCTGACTGTCTTTTGCAAATCGCTGCAGTGCTTCACAGGTGTACACTCGAGTATTCTCGCACGGATTGACTGAACTGGAGCCACATGTCACATGTGCTTCATAGGAAGAACCGGGGCATCATCTGCTGCAAGCTGGATCTGGAGGAGGATGCTGCGGCAAGTGATACACAGAGGGCTGAAATCTTCTTTCTACTGGCTGGGTTTGTTCGTGAGCAGGCATCCGGTGTTCTTCCTCACCGTCCCCGCAGTCCTGACCATTATTTTCGGATCCACGGTGCTGAGCCGGTTTAAGCCCGAAACGGACCTGGAGATCCTGGTCGCCCCGACGCACAGCCTCGCGAAGATCGAGCGGAGTCTCGCCAACAGCCTCTTCCCCGTCGACCAGTCCAAGCACAAGCTGTACTCGGACCTGCACACCCCCGGCAGATATGGCAGACTCATTCTGCTGGCCAAGTCCGGGGGAAATATCCTGGAACTGGCCGAGCAGGTGCTCCAGGTGCACAAGAAGGTCCTGGATATGCATGTCAATTATAAAGGTTTCAATTACACTTTCGCGCATCTCTGTGTCCTGAGCCACCGGGACAAGAGATGCCTCCTGGATGATATCATCACCATATTCGAAGACATTCGCTTAGCTGTTCTGTCTAACAGCACTTTTTCCAAGGTCCCCGTGAGCTATCCGAATACAACATTAAAGGTAAGAGACATTGTCTGGCTGTGTTTCAAAACCTCGCGAGCCGCCTAACGAGACAGCGTTTTCCCGAGGTTTTTGAGAAGCAGCCTTTGTGTGCGATGGAGCGACATTGCAACAATGAAACTGCAAAAACCATCTCGGCATATTGCGACTGTGCCTTATAAAACTCTCAGAATTACGAATAGACTCCGTGCTGCTGTATATTAGAGTGTGCTGCCTCGGAATCAGCTGCATAGTTCTCTAGTACTGCACTGGAGAAGCCTGGTGATGCAATGTGCACTAGATAGAAAACACTCACAGAATCTAGACTTTTACAATTTATCCTGTTTTTTTTTTCATAATAGATACCTTGTGCAGTAAGCTCAATCAATAAAATTATGAGAACATATAACAAGCAACATTATTAATTAAATACACTGTTTAGAATCCAGTATGAATTAGATAAGCTGTGTTAAATCATTCAAATGCAAACAGATCATTCAAAACACTGAGTTAATTGCAGTTACAAGAACCACTAACAGTATTCTGTATTAAGATTCCTTAAATTGTATTCACTTAAAATAGTTTTCTGCAATTTTTGAAATGTTTTACACACATACATAGGTAACAATCAACTAACTAATCATTTTAAACAGAGTAACAAACACATCCTGCCATCACAAGACAAGTTACTAAAAATAACAATAAAGCAACAATAGTTGTTGGGAAACAGTGAAACCATTGTGTGCTGCCTCGGAATCAGCTGCATAGTTCTCTAGTACTGCACTGGAGAAGCCTGGTGATGCAATGTGCACTAGATAGAAAGCACTCACAGAATCTAGACTTTTACAATTTATCCAGTTTTTTTTTCATAATAGATACCTTGTGCAGTAAGCTCAATCAATAAAATTATGAGAACATATAACAAGCAACATTATTAATTAAATACACTGTTTAGAATCCAGTATGAATTAGATAAGCTGTGTTAAATCATTCAAATGCAAACAGATCATTCAAAACACTGAGTTAATTGCAGTTACAAGAACCACTAACAGTATTCTGTATTAAGATTCCTTAAATTGTATTCACTTAAAATAGTTTTCTGCAATTTTTGAAATGTTTTACACACATACATAGGTAACAATCAACTAACTAATCATTTTAAACAGAGTAACAAACACATCCTGCCATCACAAGACAAGTTACTAAAAATAACAATAAAGCAACAATAGTTGTTGGGAAACAGTGAAACCATATTATTTTTTCAGGCCCAGTGCATGCTGGGAAGACCATTGCTAGAATTATGAGCAAAAGATGTGCTTATATAAGAAATGCTTGAACATAAAACTGCTTATACTACTTAGATTCAGCAGTAATCTATATTGGAAACAAAATAAATATTAGTACATTTTTCCTCAAATATTTTAAATGGTTCAGCCAAGTTTTGATCATAAGAACATGAACATAATTCTGTTAAATATACTGTTGTTTATATATTGCGTTTCACGATCTAAAATAGCACAGAATCATATATTGCAGTCTATTTGTACTACAGTAAATATGACAATAAAGCAACAACAGTTGTTGGGAAACAGTAAAACCATGTTAATTTTTCAGGGCCCAATGCATGCTTGGAGAACCATTGTTTGAATTGTGAATAAAAGGTGTACTTAAAATAGGAAATGCTTGTAAAACTACTTAAACTACGTAGATTCATCAATAATCTAAATTAGTGATTATTGAAAATTATAGAAATATTCTAACAGAATGTATTTTTTTAAAATGATTGTTAGCCCAATGTTTAGCATTAAAACATGAACATAATTCTGTTAAATATAGTTTATATTCATGAGCAGCATTGAATTATTTCATGGAGTGTAATGCACATTGTTAAAATAAGTGTCCTAAACTGAGTCTGAATATACACTGATTATGAAGATACATCTTGTATCTTGAGACCTGTAAGACTAACAGTCTTGATCAAAATGCTGCAGTATTCACAGACGAAAGACTAAATATAACACAACAGTACAGCAAGTCAGATATCTTATTGTTTTCCCAAGCCTACGTCAGTAGGAGTAGGAGCAAGATCTGTGTGAATGAGGCGCTTACTGTGGCCTCTACAAGAGTTCATTCATATTGTGCCAGTCTTTTTCAGCACATCTTGAGGCTGTATTGCTGCATCCAAGGCTCTCAGCAGGGTGATGCACTGTCCAGCTTATTACTGGATGCTGAAATATTGAGACTATTGAGAAAAAAAACCCAGTAACACTCAATCTGCTCTGGATTTTTTTAATTCAGCATTGTTTTGGTGCAAAAATTATGTTGTTCAGCTGTGTAGATTGTCTTAGCATATTTATCCAGCTTCATGCTGTGGTTTGATATCAGCTTGTGTTTTCTTCTTGCCAGTTTTGCTTGTCTGACATTTAGCTAAAACACATTAAGTACACACTGCTTCCTTGAGAAACCTTTTTTTTTTTTTTTGTTATGGAAGACCATTTTAATACATTGTTGAAATGTGTTAAATCCATTCAAATTCCAGAACAAATCCACACCAACATATAGCTGCTCATTAACTGGCTTGCTGATTCTGCAAGTTACACATGATTATAATGTGGAATTAATATTAAAACGCAGCAGTGGCAGCAAGTCAGTCCTTGGCTCATATGCAAACATTTTTAACGGCCTCAAACTATAAGTGCAATGAAGAATCATAGGGTATAAGAAAAATACCATACCCCTTGTGTCGCAAAGGACTTTTACTGTATATCTCATTATTTTCATCTGAGTATAAATTCATAATCTCTGTAAAGTAACAAGCTATCCAGATCTAACACAAGAGTAGTATTAGTACTAGTCAAAAATTATCAAGCAAGTTACCTAATTAATCAAATCGGAACTAACATAAGTCTAAAATAACCAAGGCACAGCCAAACTTCACAATGTCAATACCAAACTACTTCACGCAAACACAAACAATCGGCATGGCAGCCCAATGAAATATTCACATAACAGACATGCAAATGTAAAATGAATGCACTACTCACTTGTTTTAGTTGCACTTTCCAGGGCCTTCCTTTTGGCAAGTTCATCCTTCTGACTGACGTCTCCACCTTCTCTTTCCTCTTTAAGGCCCCACTTTTATGTTTGTATTTTATTGTCCATTCTAAACCTTACCAACTACGGATTATGAATTTGTTCCCTCATTTTAGTAAATATGGACACGTTTTTTAATTCTTCCCTGTTTACTTGTAATGTAGTTTAAAAAAAAGACTAACACTGCAAATTACTTCAATGTGTTACTACTTATCCACTAATAAAACACTAAGCTATACGATTTACAAATGTATAGTGTAAAAATGTGCAGTATATTGATTATTAACCAGAGATTCATTTAGATTTTATAGGATATATTTTATTATAAGATACATGATTTGGAATACGTTTTTATGATCAGTACATGGATGCTGCTTCTATTTCTTCCAGTAGCCCATATCCTCCTGAGACCCAGCTATGGAGTTTTTGCCTCTGTAGTGGACATTATATTTTAGTGAATTTCTCTGAGACCTCACATGTCACAGTTTTAAGTCTGGATGTCCTGTACAGAGCACATTCAGGGCTTTCCAGAGATACCAAATGATTGGATGTTTCACCATCACCACTCCCTCTCCTTGGTTTTTAAAAATGGCTGACATTAATTTAGTGATAAAATTGTACATCCTTATGGAAATATGATAATATTTTGTAATTATAATTTAAATCTGATAAATTTTCAAATAGTTTGTCATAAATCAACATCTCAGGAAAATGTTATGGGGTTTCAAATCAAAATTTGACTTCCTGATGTATTTTATAACATAGTTGAGAACCATCCTTATACAAAGTTAGTTATAAAAAAATTGAGTCCTGGTGTCCTCTACAGAGGACATAGCATAACTTATGAATAAAATAAAATTTTTCAAAAATGTTATTTTACCATTTTTTTTCTTATGCTCTAAACAATGTAATGACATGAAAAAATACTAAATTCACAAAGCTTTTTATTTCTGGTTCTCGGGAGGATATTACAGATCTCAATTAATTTGTTAATCAACTTTAGTATTCCTCAGATGTTCCAAACGTACCAATTATTAAAAAATTTTTGACAGCAGTTGATTTTCCCTGATTGTAAAGTACACTTGTTAGATTGCATTCAAATTCAATTTCACTCATAAGTTTCCTTTAATGAAATAAATAAATTAGTAACTGGTTTGTTTTGCCTCTAGGATGGCCGAGTGTCCTTTATTGGCCATCAGCTGGGTGGCGTGGCCTTGCCTGTGAATAGCCGGGATCAACAAGTCAAGTTTGCTCGCGCCATCCAAATCACCTACTACCTCCGCAACCTTGGACCAGTGGTGCAGGACATCATTTCTGAGAAGTGGGAGAGTGAATTCTGTAAGCTGGTTCACCAGTTGGCTACAGACAGCCAGGAACTACACATCCATTCACTTACATCCTTCAGCTTATGGCGGGACTTCCACAAGACAGGCGTGCTGGCCAAGAGCGAGGTACTGGTCAGCTTGGTGCTGGTGCTCCTGGGGGCCACCATCTCCAGCTCTATGCGGGACTGCTTGCGTGGGAAACCCTTCCTGGGCCTGTTGGGCGTCCTTACCATCTGCATCGCCAACGTGACGGCAGCTGGGATTTTTTTCATCTCTGATGGGAAATTTAACTCTACGCTGCTTGGGATCCCCTTTTTTGCCATGGGTAAGTGCGGCTTTGTTCACAGAGACTGTGGTGATTGTATGTAGGATTATTATAATTGCTGTGTGACTCCTCAGGAGGGGGAGGGGGGGGAGGGGATGTAATTGTTTTCCATGGCAGTCATCGGGGTGAGTGCTTGAGCAACAATGGGCTTCATCATTACGGAGGGAGAATCTGTGATATTATGAATAGAAATGGAAGATATTTAGACATTTTTGAACATTTTTGTGGTACAATGAAAATATGTGAACGTTTGCCTGAAAATTAAAATGAATATAAACTGATGTAGCATTATTATGATCTGCAGATCTGACTGATGGTATAGCTAATGTAGCCTACTGCTTATGATAAACCACTGAATGTCTCAGTACTTTGTTGGCGCTTTTACATAGAACAGAACCATGTGGTGGGACACATTGATCCAGCGCAATGGTTCTCACCTGGTGGGTAGCAAGTCTGTTCTGATAGGGCCATCAACAGCAAGAAAAGAATTAACAAAGAAAAACAATGCAGAATGTAAATAATAATATGCAACGAAGAAGATAAGCATATTTAGTTAGAATAGCAAAACAAAAAGATTTATAAACAGGGACAAAAAGGAAGAAAACACTTTCCACATATCTGAAAAAAGGAAGAAAACACTTTCCACGTATTGTTTTGTGTTGACGTCGCAAGGCGTGCAAATGTGATTTGGTAAAACCCAGCCAAATCAAGCAGATGTTACAATGGACAGGTTGGATGCCCTCATTGAGAAAACCATGAAAGAAGCAAGGTAAAACTAGACTACAATATATGTCTTACACATATTACACTAAAAGGATAAATATGGTTGGCTCCTGCTATAATGTGTGTTTGTTTGATATTCAGAGTACAGTACCATTGCAAGTTTGATAGTGCTCTTATACATTAAATAGCTCAATAAACAAGTATTTCATATCGAGTAACTTACATTTTAAGAACATTATTTTCTGTATTTTTGCTCTGTCAACTGGAATAGTTCCAACGAAGTCAACCGTCTCCGAGCAGCACCCTACAGTGCTGTTTTGTTCCTGAATGAATCAGTGTTTTGAACGAATCGTTTCAGTGAAATATTCATTGACTCACATTAAGTTATTTGTCGCCACCTTCTGGCTGATATATCCTGTCGAGAGACAGAAGAAACAAAGTGGATAAGATGAAGAGCAATATAGAATAATACATTTCAGTATTTAATTTTTGATGACATTTTGTTTACTTTTGCACTATTTTGTTACTGTGTTGGATCCACTTAATGAAAAATGTCAGATTTAGTCTCCTCCATAATAGTGCCTGCCTGACTGAAAATTAATCCAGAATTAATAATAAAAAAATAAAAATTATATTAGATAGCAAACATGTCATTGCACCAATAATTGCAGTGTGAATCTAAAGGAACATTTTAGTCTGCAGAATATTCATCCTTTAATGACAATTAGCTCACTTTCTTTCTATTGTTCGTTCATTTTGGGAGAATAATAAGGAACAGTCGTTAATTTCCGACAGTGCTGTGTTCTTTCTGACGTGTTATTTTTGTGGAACACAATCTAGCAAGCTAAAACAAACTTGGAAATTTAACGAACTCCGAACTTAACACATCTCGCAGGTGTTAAAACACCCTTAGATTTTGCACCTGTCTAGGTTGCATTAGATGCCCTTAGGTGACGACTGTCACAACCCTCAACTGAGTGGAACTAATTAGCTTCGGATTTAAAGCGTCAATTTGTTTTCTCCTGTGGAGGTAGAATCATGATTCTCTCAAAACAAGGATATACAGGGTGCAAACGCACAATTATAACCTACAGAGAATAACTGCTTACAGCATTCTTACTCTCAGTCAGTTTCCTGTGATGGGTTTGGTTATTGTAGCAGCGCAATAGCATAATTAACCATCATGTTACATGTGGCTGCCCAATTTAAGAAGACAGCAACATTGTCAGTGAAGAGACTGACTATACTGTAGGATTTTATGATCATGAATGTCCTTGTGGTCCTTGTGGAGCTTGTGGATCAAAGGTAATAATGCTTGGTGCTGTACTGTATACTCACATCTTAAGCTTCAGCCAGCCGTTTACGGCGTCCCTAATGATCTGGACCCCTCAGATGCTCAGTCTTATTGCAAGGCTAGCCCAGCGTGAGAGATTAATTGCTCCCTGACCGCTGGATTTTGCGCTCTTTGCACAATACCAGAGGACCTGTGATTTACTGTGCTTTGCATTTGAGCTTCACAGGAAGGACAATCTGGAGAAATAGATTTTGTCCAGCCGGCAAAGATGAATGGTGACACTCTACAAGACACATCACAATGTCCTGCGGGGACCCCGAGGACACGGGGTGGCTCCGTCGAGTTGGCAAAGTGACATTGGTTTCAAGTTTGTGGATGATTCTGAAAGGTTTTTTGACAGAATAGACACAATTGAAGTCATGGTCCTTTCCTCACACAAATTTATAGTATGGCTTCAGAAGTCTGGGAATATAGTGCATAAGTTTGGACTACTTTTTATGTTTTTTCTTTGATTCTTTTTTTAAACAGACATGGTCAAGCTACATGAAACTACTTAGTCTTTAATGGGACAAAAAAAAGGGTTGAAATGACGCGAGGGTGAGTAAATAATGACAGAATATTAATTTTAGGGTGAACTGTCCCTTTAAAAGGACTTGGCAGAAGATGGATACTGTTGTCTGTGACAATGAATGTAGTGCATCATGTTATACCTTCAGTTTAAGTTTGGAGGTTATTTTTGTTCGGACGCATACAGCAAGGGGCCTATTTGTAGACTTGCTTCCTGCCACACGTCTTAGTGGCAGAGCGGCGAATGCTTTGTTCTGCTGGGACAAATGACAGGATAGGAAATCAATGTCAGAGTACTCACTCACCTCCTGATCAGCGTGCACATACAGTAAAGCTGTTTGCTGTTGACGTATGATGAGCCTTGATCATGAAAACCATAGGAATTATAAGGCTAGTTCCCATTCAGTCAGTCACGTTCAACGTTACGTCAGTGACTGACGAATTGGGATCTCGCCCGAGAGCCCAATCACCTTCGAGTGTTAACTAAACAAGCCAATGACAGTTGGCGTGCGTGTTTCGCCACGCGCACCCCGCCCCGCAGCGCGGATATAAAAGGAGAGCGCGTGCAAACGCACATCAGCTTTTCGCTTCGGAGCCGAGCCTTCTTCAAGACGAATCTCCGCGAGTGTTCGAGAGAAACAGCTGAATATCACATTTATAAAGATAAATAAATATCTTTAAAGGACAGAGATATGAATCAAAAATTATATTTCTGTTGTTATTTACTCACCTACTGTACTGTTGTTTGTTCATGCACCACAAAATGATTATTTTTAAAGAATCTTCAACTCTTAAAATGCCATTTTATGGTGAAAAAAAAAATCCTCTCAGAAAAAAGTTCTGTCATGCAATTAGTTTTAATTTTTCAATCTGTGGTCCCCTTCACCCTCTCCAAAATAGTCGGGAGTCTGCTATGCTGAATATTTTGAAACTGACCAGATGCGAGAAGTTCACATGGTGAGCGAGTCATGTTGACAGCAAAGAAATTAAAATTCATAAAAGAAAAGAAAGGTGAAGCCAGAAACAGTGCAGTAGCACAATGCCAAAAAAAGCTGAAATTATCAAAAAATTAATAAAAACAAAGAAACAAGCAAATTATGTTAAGTAGATTGTACAGACCATTGGTTGGTTTCTGCAATCTACACTGTAAAAAAATAGTTTTTGAAGATTATGTCAATATGTTTTACAAGAAAATACTATTCTTTCAACATCAAAATTTCACATTAATTTTAGTGTGTTACTTGCAGTTTCTTTGTAAATTTTTGTGAAACTTACGAGCAATTTCTGAGCGAAAATAGTTTCAAAGTACATCCTACACCAAAAGTTTTGCGGTGTACTTAGGTTTATGATGCTTTTGGGAAACACAGCCCAGGTCAGGATTAAGGCTGACATTACCAGTTCTACAAATGCTGATTTATTTTACATGTTGTCACGTCATTGAATATCGAATGGACAAAGACCCGTTTATGGTTGATGTTCTGTAGAAACTATATTTAGGCTTAAATGGAATTTCACAGCTCATCTACAAATGTTTAAACTTACTGAGTAAAATGCGGCATGCTAAACATGTCAGTTACAAAGAAAACATTGCTGCACCTTTAGTTTGATTTCCTACAGCATATGAGCACATCCGTTTATGAAATTTGGCTAAAATATTATAATGATAGAGAAATGATAAGCATAAGAAATTAGATTGTTATATGAGAAAACAGATGAAATATAAATAGATAACACTGACAAACACAAATGAAAGAACTAATCATAGAGCAGATAAAGCCAAAATTAGGAGAAAGATGACTAGATGTAGCTTGTTTCTAGAATACAGCTGTTTTGAAAATTGTGCTACTGGAAAAATGTAGTTAAGTTAGTGTCTGGATTTAAAGGTGTGTATGTCTGTTGTGAGTAAGTGTGTGTGTGTGTGTGTGTGTGCAGTGGCGTAGTCACTCCCCAGCATGTCAGTCCTATTGATCGAGCTCATTTAGGGCCACAGACTGTGGAACAGCATGTGCCCTGGGATCTGGACCGTCTCCTTGCAATTCTCTCCACACAAGCATGATTGTGCCTGGTCATGGCTAACACACATTCACAGTGCCTGGGAAGCTCAATCCCATCTCAGTCACCATTCTAGAAACAAACACGTGCAACCGCCAGCATTTACAGCAGACCTTTGCTGTCTCCCGCAGGAAAATATAGATGATGGGGTGTTAGTAGATTGAAAACCGGCCATGGTGAATGGCATTGATTTGCCTCTGTGCTAGAGGGCAAGAGCAAGTCCTGGGGAAGAGATTAGGGGTCTTACAGATGAACTACTTATCACAAATGTCTTCAAGCGTCACGTATTACATGCCATTAAGCCTGTGGCTGGATAATTTGCCATTGTCAGGAGGAAGAATCAGGATGAGAAAGGTTTGTTGAA